AATTTGACACTTTAATAAAATTCATTATAGTTTTTGCAAAAATCTTTTTTCCACAGATGTTTAAGATTCCTGAGATTAAGAAAATAAATGAAAAAAATTTTAAATGTCCATGTGTACTTAAAACATTGTAACTGTATGTACAAAACTCATAGAAAAACCAATGTTTAGGAACCTACAACCAAGGTTTAATACTTTATTTACAAAAATGTACTGAAACTACAATGAACCATGATAGATATAATAACATTATTACAATATTTACTCACAAGTTAGTTTGATAAATTTATAAATTAATAAATGGCATCAAATTACACAGATTATTCATCAGGTGGCTGATCATCTGGTTTCTTTCTCCATCCACCAGAACTGCTAAAGAGCAGGTTGAGTCTTGAAGGCAGTCCTCTAAGCATCTTGACTCTCTGTGGCTAGAAGGATCCAGGCATCTCTTCAGTAGGACACTGCAAGGAAATTTATTCTGCTTTCTAAAATTTCCTGGCTCCTAAACAACCTAAAACAGGTTACAGGAGACCTGTAGCATACAGGTGGGTGCAGAGAGATATGAAAAAGTAGAGGTGTGGCATCCCAAAACTGAGCTTTAAAAAGCTGTCAAGTCAGAGATTCTTGGTTACAAGCAAAAGGAAGCCATCCCAATTAAGTGTAGAACAAAGTGGGTGTCAGAGGGCCAGAAGGAAAATCTCATGGATCCCAACACAAGCGCAGACAGCATCAAAGTTGTCAAGAGGACTACTCTTCTCAAGGGCTGTGTGATACTGCTTCATCGGGCACATTCCAGTTATGGCTTATCTCTGGAGACCAGATTTCTCAGTGTGGTTGTATGCATACAACAAAAACTGGCTGCCACTCCTGAGTCTACCTGACCTTGTAGCTGTAGTATCCTCCAGGCAGTTACTGACTCAATGGCTAGGTCAAGCAAATAACCAAGCAAAGGAATCTGATCAGCTTAGGTGTTCTCTCCTAATCTAATCAGCCATGGCTGGGGAGACAAAATATAATGCAAGTATAGGGCTGCGCCCTCTCAGAAATGGACGTAGGTGGAAATGAAACACTTAGTAGCTCAAGTTCCCGGATACCAGACGGATTGTGTTTGGACTTTCTCAGTTTTTTTGTCTCTTTCAAGTTGGGAGTTCAGGCTACGAGTGGTGGAAGAGACAAACCCTAACAGCATAATTCTCCTTATCTAAAATAAGGCAGGGCTTTGGTTTGTGGCAGGCCTATTAAAAACGGAAAGGTGATAAATAAAACCTTTATAAAAAGAAGCTATGACTGGCATGGCTCAGTTGGTTGAGCATTGTCCCAAGGTCACCAGTGAGATTCCAGGTCAGGACACATGCCTGGTTTGCCGCCGAGTCCCCGGTTCAGGAGTGTGTAAGAAGAAACTGATCGATGTTTCTCTCCCTCTATTTCTCCCTCCCTTCTTCTCTCTCTAAAAACAAAGAAATAAAACCTTTTTTAAAAAATGAGAGGGTGGATGTACTAGGAATTCTTGGTTTCCAACTACCTCCCCAGCTTTCAGAATGAATGGAAGCTTGAGTGACTAACTAAAACCTGTTTTCAGATGCCAGAATAGAGCTTTTGTTCTTCTGTTCCAAATAAAGATATCCTAAGAGATACAACAGGCCAATAATGAGTTTATTGCTCCAATTATTCCAGTTATTATCTTTCTCAAACAAGAAGAGTACAAGAGAATAAGCCATGAACAAAACTTAGACAACTCTTTATTTTTTTAATTTATTTTTTTATTGATTATGCCATTACAGTTGTTCTATTCCCCCCTTCATTCCCCTCCACCCTACCCCCGTCCCCACCATTATCCCCCCTTTAGTTTATGACCATGTGTCTCAAGTTCTTTAGATTCTATATTTCCCATATTATTCTTGCCCCCCATCTATTTTCTACCTACTGTCTATGCTACTTATTTTCTGTACCTTCTTCCCCCTTCTCCTCCTCTCACTCCCCTGTTGCTAACCCTCCTTGAGATCTTCATTTCTATGTTTCCACTCCTGATCTAGCAGTCCTTTTAGTTTGCTTTTGTTTTAGGTGTGGTTGTTAATAACTGTGAGTTTGCTGTCCTTCCACTGTTCATGTTTTTTTTAACTTCTTTTTCTTAGATAAGTCCCTTTAACATTTCATATAATAAGGGCTTGGTGATGATGAACTCCTTGAATTTGATCTTATTTGAGAAGCACTTTATCTGTCCTTCCATTCTAAATGAAAGCCTTGCTGGATAGATCAATCTTGGATGTAAGTCTTTGGATTTCATGACTTGGAATACCTCTTTCCAGCCCCTTCTTGCCTGTAAGATCTCTTTTGAGAAATCTGCTGACAGTCTGATGGGGACTCCTTTGTAGGTGACTGTCCCCTTAGCTCTTGCTGCTTCTAGGATTCTCTCCTTCATTTTAATCTTGGCTAATGTAATGATGATGTGCCTTGGTGTGTTTCTTCTTGGGTCCAACTTCTTTGGGACTCTCTGGGCTTCCTGGATTTCCTGGAAGTCTATTTCCTTTGCCAGATTGGGGAAATTCTCCTTTATTATTTGTTCAAATAAGTTTTCCACTGATGGCTGTTCCTTTCCCCCTTCTGGTACCCCTATAATTTGGATGTTGGAGCGTTTAAAGATGTCCTGGAGGTTCCTAAGCCTGTCCTCATTTTTTTGAATTCTTGCTTCTTCACTCTTTTCTGTTTGGCCATTATTTGCTTTCTTCTGGTCCACTCCATTGATTTGAGTCCCAGTTTCCTTTTCATCGCTATTGGTTTCCTGTGCAATTCCATTCATTTCAATTAGTTTCGCCTTCATATGTTTCTCTAATTTGCGGCTATAATCAACCAGTTCTGTGAGGATCCTGATCACCAGTGTTTTAAACTGTGCATCTGAGAGTTTTGCTATTTCTTCATCACTTAGATTTATGGGCTCTGGGGCTTTGATATCTTCTTGAGCCATTTTTAGTCTGTTCATGCCCATTAAGAATGAGGAGCCGAGCCTTGGACTCCCAGGTCGCTGGGTTGTGATGCTGTATGTGGGGGCATGGTCAGATCAAGGAAATGGTGGCGCCCTCTGCTGCTGCTGGCAGTGGGTCCTGCTGGGTCCCGTCTAATCGCCCACTTTCTTGCTTGTCTATCTGCGCATGAATGCGTGACCACAGTCAACCCGCAGCCCTGCTCCCTTGGTGTTTCCCCGCGGTTGTTCGCTGGGTCACTCACTAGGTCCAACCCTGTGCCTGGGTTCCGCGCACCTGAGTTCGTCTGACCGAGTTTTCCTGTGCAACCCCGCCCGCCAGCTGCTGGTTTCGCCCCTCTTACCGGTCAGGCTGAAGAATTTATTGTTATCAGACTTCCAAAAAGTTCAATTTTCTGTGTTCTGGCTGTGTTTTCTGTTGCTAACATTTAGTTGTCTCTAAACTTGGTTGTGTGAGAAAGCACAGCATCTCCACCTATGCCTCCATCTTGGCGGAAGTCCCTCAAACTCTCAAAGGAATTTTTTTTTTAACTAATTAGGCCCCTTTGATATGTTTGAGTTGCACAGGGAAATTTCATCAACTAAGGAAATAGTTGTGTTATATTTGTATGTATATAATCTTATTATTCAATGGGTATTATATATTGGGGACTATGTTAAAATCTCCAGAAGTCTACAATGTCCTGACACAATAAGTCATGTGTAATCCCTGTTATTTTTAAATGTTATGTTAGAGAAAAGCAAAGTATTTTGTTGACTGCATTATAGTCAGATCTATAATCATGTCATTTTAAGGTGTTGTGGGCTTTTTGTTATTTACAGTCACTATTTTATTATGATGCCTTTGCATGAATGTTTCAACTTCAGAAAGATCCATAAAAGGATTCCAACTTACTCTAAAACAAAGTTTTCTAAAAATAAACTTTAAGATCATACCTTTAAACTGGATGAAGATTTATAAAGCTCTCAGGAACAACTGGATCCAAAAACTACTGGCTAAGGATCAAGATAAATAGGAATTACATGTGAGGGACTGAATGAAATAAGGTTGATAATTTTTATAGCTTTTTGTTAAAAATACTATTAATTTTTAACCTGTTTTTTTTCTCCAGATATAAGGAACCTTATTTTCTCTAAAACTACCTATGACTTAGAGCAATTTGGTAAATTATACCTTTGTAAGCAATACGGAAACATTTATATTTTTCTCTCTACCTGATCCTTGTGGAAGTTTGAAGACTCTGAATGAGTATTATTTTCATGACAATATGGTTATTTGCATAAATTTGGTAGAAATATGTTATTTTTATAACAGGACACAATTGAAAATTGGTTTATTACCAAGACTTTGACTGGAATGTCATGATTGAGAGAGACATACATAGACTCTGGATGTCACCAGAAAGCTTTAAGGAATTAAGATTGACTTTGGAAGTCGATCAGAACCCCTTGGAGAAATGGCTGTTACTATGGTTCACAGCAGTCTTTCCAGGGAAGGAAAAAAATTGCTTTCCTGGGAGATGGCAAAGGAAGAATGTGGAGACATTTTGAGGAATCTCAAGAATCTGAGGAATTCACCCAAATCGATAGGTATTGCAGGCAAATAGTGTTGGCAAGTATATGGCTTAGCTTTTTAGCCCTGAGAGGCTAAAGTTCAATCTGGAGAGTCTTACAAAATTCCAACAAAGCATTTAAAAGAGCCTGCATGATAAAAGACTATTCTTGTTGTACTTATGCAAATAACAGGCCAAATTTATTAAACATTGATTTATATGTTAAATTAATCTTAATTTGGCTATATTTGATAAAATGAGGATGATTTGAGAGGGGAAAAAGTTGTTTCAATAGAAACCATAATGTCCAATTATAGATATTAAATTCTAGATAGCTTAACTGTCTTTAAAATCTTATATTTCACCTGTGGACTATACTGGATCCTGAGTTTTTCTCATGGAAGTGTTTGTCTGTAGCCTGATAAACTAGTGTTTCATTTTTTCCTCCCATCTTTGACTTGGAATTCCTGGAGTGTTAGTGGAATGGCTGAAAGATCCATCTCAGGAGCTTGAGTTTACTGCTGATATTCTTAATCAGGATGCAAAAAATTATCATGCCTGGCAACATGGACAGTGGGTTATTCAAGAATTTAAACTTTGGGATAATGAGCTGCAGTATGTAGACCAACTTCTTAAAGAGGATGTGAGAAATAATTCTGTCTGGAACCAAAGATACTTTGTAATTTCTAACACCACTGGCTACAATGATCATGCTGTATTGGAAAGAGAAGTCCAGTACACTTTGGAAATGATCAGACTAGTAGCATATAATGAAAGTGCATGGAACTATTTGAAAGAGATTTTGCAAGATCATGGTCTTTCCAAATATCCCAATCTATTAAATCAATTACTTGATTTGCAACCAAGTCACAGTTCCCCCTACCTAATTGCCCTTCTTGTGGATATCTGTGAAGATATGCTAGAAAACCAATGTGACAACAAGGAGGACATTCTTAGTAAAGCATTGGAGTTATGTGAGGTCCTAGCTAAAGAAAAGGACACTATAAGAAAGGAATATTGGAGATATATCAGAAGATCTCTTCAAAGCAAACACCGCACAGAAAGTGACCCACCAACAAATGTACAGCAATGACACCATCTAGAAGAACTTCATAGAATGCTTTTATTTTTTTTAAGAGACTCTAATGCAGGAGTTTAAAACTGGAGTGAGCATTCCTTTTGCCTGTGGTGTAACACTTGCACAGGTGTTGCTTTTTAACAAGAGCTAAGTGTAATATTCCCTGGATGCTATTCATACTAGCTCTTAGTCATTTGATTCTTTTAAAGCAAAGTAATTTGAGGAAAGAAACAAAGTCACATAAAGGAACTTTTGTAGTCTTATCAACATTTACTCCAATCCCTTAGTATCAGCTCCTTAAATGGTATATGCGTCAGGATTTGCAGCATTGATCATTGCAGATAACTGGTACGTAATGGATATGAAGTAACTTCAATTTTGGGTCAGGAAGCAAGGAATGAAACTGCTACTTAGAACCGTTATGTCACTCACTATCTCACTATCTCGTTATCTCACTATCACTGTAACCAACTAATGCCAAAAGAATGATTTTGTGATAAAACTACAGATGTATCCTAAAACAATGCCATATTTTGATTGGTTAGATAACATTTAATGATATTAAAGGGACATTATCTTAGCTTAGAAAAGCAGTTGAGGAAGAAAATACTGATATAAAATTGTAGAAACCAGAAACATGATTACATTAAAGGAAATGTTATTACAAAAAAAAAGAGCCCAGAAAACAGTCTTAGGACTTATGCAGACTCACTTCCTCTGGGCTCCAGCACTGGGGTAGCACCTGGAAGCAAACCAGGGGCATATGGGAACAAACTGAAGTATCTGACATCAGGGCAAGTGCCGGAGGAAAGCATTCTCCCAAATAAAACTCCAGAGGTCAGGCAGCAGCCATTGTTTCTTTTCTGAGCCCTTCCCCAAACAAAGAAAGCCACAGAGCAGCAACACCATATCTGAGACTCCATCAACCTGGTTCACATGGGTTGTCCCGCCCTGGTGAATACCTAAGGCTCTGCCCCATCCAACTTACAGATGCACGTTTCTACATTAGGTCATGCTACTAAGACAGGGAGTCAAAGAAGCTCTACCTAACACATGGGAACAAATACAGGGAGGCTGCCAAAAAGAGGAGAGAGAAAAATATGGCCCAAATGTAAGAATGGAAAAAACTCCAGAAAAAAACCTAAACAGAATGGAAATAAGCAATCTATCAGATGTAGAGTTCAACAGTGGTTATTAGGATGCTCAAGGAATTCACTGGGTACTTTAACAGCATAAAAAAGACCCAAGAAGAAATAAAGATTACACTAAGTGAAATAGAGAAAAAATTACAGGGAATCAACAGTGGACTGCATGAAGCCAAAAACCAAATCAATGATGTGGAACATAAGGAAAAAAAAATTCAAAATTCAGAACAGCAAGAAGAAAAAAGAATCAAGAAAACTGAGGATAGGGTAAGTAGCCTCTGGGAAAACATCAAACATACCAACATTTGAATCATAGGGGTGCTGGAAGGAGAAGAGAAAGAGCAAGAAATTGAAAACTTATTTGAAAAAATAATGAAAGAAAACTTTCCTAATTTGGTAAAGGAATTAGACATGCAAGTGCAGGAAGCACAGAGAGTCCCAAACAAAATGGATGCAGAGTTCCACACCAAGACACATCATAACTAAAATGCCAAAGGTTAAAGATAAGCGAGATTTTTAAAAGCAAAAGAAAAACAGGCAATTATCTACAAAGGAGTTCCCATAAGACTGTCAGCTGATTTCTCAAAAGAAACTTTGCAGGCTAGAAGGGAGTGACAAGAAGCATTCATAGTAATGAAAAGCAGGGACCTACAGCCAAGATTACTCTATCCGGCAAAGCTATCATTTAAAATTGAAGGGCAGATAAAGTACTTCCCAGACAAGGCAAAGCTAAAGGTATTCATAATCACCAAGCCATTATTCTATAAAATGTTAAGGGGACTTAGAAAAAAGAAGATTAAAGCTATGAACATTAAAATGGCAATAAGTCCATAACTATCAAGAATTGAATCTAAAAAAACAAACCAAGCAAACAAGCAGAAAAGCAACAGAATCATAAATCTGGAGGTTATTTGGAGTGTTATCATTTGGGAGAGGGAAAAGGGCAAGTGGGAGAAAAGATGGAGGGATTAAGAAGTATGAATTGGTAAGTACAGAATAGACAGGGGGATGTTAAGAACAGTATAGGAATGGAGTAGCCAAGGAATTTATATGCGTGACCCATGGATAAGAACCATGGTGGGGAATTACCAGAGGGTTTGAGGGGTACTGGGTGCAGGGGGGCACAGGGGGAAAAATTAGGACAACTGTAATAGCATAATCAATAAAATATTGTAAATAAATAAGTAAATGAAAATATTGCAAAAGGAGTAAGAGTGGGGAAGAAGGAGGAGTAGGAAAAGGAAGAGGAGGAGGAGAAGAGATTACAGTCCAAAATAACAATTCCATGAACTCTACATCTGGTACCTTAGGCCACAGTAAGGCCCTGCCCTGGACCCTGCGTGTCACAAACACAGTCCATGATACATTTATTAAATAATACATGGGCACCCCTTTCACTCAAAATCCAGTGCATATTGTTGGCATAGTGTGACTCATAAACACCCACTCCTGGAAATAACACCAGTTAGACCCCAGGGGAATACTCCACATCTCTTCACCTATGCCCACAATACACGGGGCAACTGAATACAGTAGCCATAAAGGTTTATGGTTTAGGGTGCTGTTGACATAGGAGAAAGACCTTGCTTGGGAATGTTGGTAAGATTTGAATATAGAAACAGATTTTTAAATAACCAAAATAATTAACTTGACAGATTCTTTTTCTCATTGTGGATGCAATAGCTTTTGGCCTAATGAAATATCTTTCCTAGTATCAAGTATCCATTTTCTTCTCTCAGGACACCAGAGATGCTCACAAATTAGGGTGAAATTTCAATAGTTGAACATAGTAGCTGAGGTACATTTTACTATACTAAAATGTTTTTATTATTCTTAAATTTGTATATGTGTAGATATAGATATAACATGCATGAAGTGTGATACAGACTCTTTACATTAGTAGTAAAATGGACATTGCAAATAGTTTAATTTTCATAAAAATATTCCATAGGTTTCATTAAATTTTTCAAAAATTAAATTAAAATTTTATAATTGTAAACTTGAGTTATTAATTATAATTCATATATTTGTTGTCTTTAACTTTAACAGATAATTTTTGAAAGAAAAATACCAGAAAAATTTAATTTGTGATGTTTTTACACTTACTTTCTATTTCATACACATTCAAAACAATTACTTTTTAAATTCTCTAGCTGACAGAAAGACTACAAATTGAAATCATGATAGAAAAAGAGAATACAAAAGTAGAGCTCAAAAACACTAATAAAAAGCCTCAAAAGAAAAAAGAAATACAAAAATCTTCAAAGGGGCTATCATCTACTTAAATACTCAAAAATTGAAAGTAAAAGTGTTCAGGAACCACATAAAATTTGCAAACAGCACATAAATTCTTTGCTTACTGAATATTTAATTGCTAATGAAAATGAGTAAGAAAATTAAGATAGCATATTTTCGCAGGACAATGGTCAACCACATTGGTTATAAGTGTCATTGTCCATTTCCATTCATTAAGTGCATTGCCTATCTTTTCTTTTAACTTTATGTCTGTTGTTAAATATTTAATTTGTCCTAGGAAATACCATTACTAAATTCATTATATTCTGAGTTTCTCATTCTCTCTTACCAGCTTCACTTTATCTATTACTTTTCTTTCCCCTGTGTCTAATAAGTGGAAATACAATGAGAGCCCTGGCTAGCATGGATCCATTGTTTGAGTATTATCCCACCAAGTGAAGGGTTGCCCATTGATTCCCCATCAGGGCACAGGCCTGGTTTCAGGCTGGTCCTTGGTTGAGGCACGTGTGAGAGGCAACAGATCAATGTTTCTTTCACATATTGATGTTCTCTCTCTCTCTCTCTCTCTCTTTCTGCTCCTCTCTCTAAAAATGAAATCTAAAAAAAAAGAAATACAATGGAGAATATTAAGGGGAGTCATTCTAAATTAAACTGCATTTTCACCTTTGGCATATCTCCTCTTATTTGCATTAGCCACACCAAAGAAGTCAACAGCTTTTTAGAACTTTATATCTGGGTATTTATGTTTTATAATGTAATGTAAAATGTCTCAGGCATTGCAGTGCTCTTCCTTCTCGAATACTTTTGATTCTGAATTTTGTAGTGATGATACCATATCTTATCTTTGTATGCTGTTTTGTAGTTTCCAAATCACTTTCATCAATATAATAGCAATAAAGCTCTACAACAGCCTTGGGTGTTCAACTCACATTTACATTAGAGAAAATCATGTTTTCAACATCACCAAGTGACAGATTTGTGACAACCAGTGGTATACTGGTAAATGTTAACACCTGACTCTTGGAGGGTATTCGAAGCCTTGATGGTAGAGTTGACCAGTTTCCATGGAATAAATACTCCCATGATGGCCAATTTCAAACTACCAATGTGATGTCAACTGGCTCCTAAAAGTTCTGAAAACCTAACCACTGGCTTTTGCAAACAGGAAGAAGCCAGCTCCAGCGTACCAACCAGTCACTTTGATTTAATTCAAATGTATATGGAAACTAACATATGTGCCTTGACTGAGATTGTGATATCAAAATAAAAGATATAAATGTGCTGGGCTTATTGGCAGATTAAACCCACAATGATGCTATTAAGTGGTAATATGGTCTTAATTACAAGTGCTTTTGGAGTTCCCAGAGGGTAGTGAGTGTAATGGGTCCCCAGTGATCCCCAATTCCTGGTATTCATGCCATTGTAGAATCTACTCCCCTTTAATGTGGGCGGAATTTGTGACTTTCTTCTAACCTTCTTAGCATACAGAAAAGGTTCAAAGGTGATGGAATGCCACTTCCATAATTATATTCTACTGTAACTTCTGTCTTACTAGCAGATGCTCTGTTTCTGGCTCTGATAAAACAAGCTGTTATGTTGTACCCTTACCTAGAGGATCACATGGCAAGGAACTGAGGCCCTCAGTCCAAACAATTGTGAGGAACTGAATTCTGCGAACAC